CATATGTTAGACGATGCAGTTACGTTCGTATAGCCGAAAGCCGCTTTCAAAAACGCTAAATAATAAATTACACAATGTTGTAATTTTGAGTTTTGATTTGAGCGGTTGCACAAGCCAAATCTTCTTCTCTGGAAGACAAAAGAGACGCGGAACTAAGAATATCTGGGCAAGGGAGGAAAATATAAACGGGGATTTAGGACATTATGCGGTTCGGTTGATATTTATGCAGCTAGTCAAGAATCGATTTATATTTATGGTACCCAAAGTCTCGCCACTGCATTCACAAAACTTCCAAAACCGTAATTAATTTAATCCAGTACAAGTTTTGGACAGAATTCTTTAGTATACGTTTTAATAATATACTAACGTATAAGAATTTCTCATGTCGTTTCTACCTTTGATGATTCTCATACTAATATGCATTTATTATTACGAATGTGTGTTACATGCCCTAACAATTTCATTTTTCTTGAAATAACAAACCTAACAACGTAAATTGCAGATTCTGCCAATATATTATTGTTATTATTCCTTACGTACGTCATCTCTAGGCGAAGAATATACTGAGAATGACCTTAAGTCTTTTTTGCTTTTGTTTCGTCTGGCTGCAATAGACGAGCTATTTTTGATTCTAAACAACTGTATTCAGGAGGTCAATGTGAACAAAAGATATTAATCAAGTTTTACATTTGTTTTATGTATCGAAGGATATAACATAAAGCATAATTTTACTGCTGCTGTTTGGAACTCTTAAGTGTAACAAGGTCATTTATTTCGCTTATTGAGATCGAACTTCTTTGTATAAGAAAAGCGCTGAGCGTTGTCAGAATATCTCAGAGATAATAATCCGTGACTACTCCGTTTAAATAAAAGGGCAATGTTTACAGCTTCAAGAAATTCCCGTCGCTTTGCTCATATGTAACCCGCGGCTGCGTACATAAATGTACTGTGCGTACTTCTTTTGAAATGTGCAACATCAGATCTGCACGCACGTTCTCTCTCTCTCTATGTGTGTGTGTGTTTTAACAACGTAAGCACACATCCATTATGACTACCTTATCTCCGGCGCAGTGTTCGCAAATGTTCCCTTCTGTACCGAAATTTAATAGCCAGTATCCTACATTTTCACAGTGACCTGCAGAATAAAAGTCTAATCCAAAAGACTCCAGTTAATATATTTCAATTTATATCTTAAAATTATACAATGCATTACAGCGTATGAAACAAGCCTATGTTCAAACAAATTAAAATTCTTGTATAAAGCATGACCCCCAAAATCCCCTACAAAACGAAGTCGATCGGAGAGAAATACTTTCTGTGGTCAAGCATCCAATCAGAAATCCATTCAGAAATATAAAAATTATTTTCATCAGAGGACAAGAATCAAAAGTCGAAACAAGTTAAATAATGACTTCTTTCGTATCTGCTGTATGCCCCCTTGATATGGCAACAGCGACCAAGAGTCCGTCCGGCACAGACCAATATGCTCCGAAAGCAATTCTCGCGAAACGACTCCCGCCTGCAGTACTTCGTTTAGACTATAAGCACGACAGACGTGTCGAAGAAGTTGCCGGCCGCCCGGCCGCAGGCGGACCTGCGAACGACGCGTGACCGAAGCTGGCGCTGATTTCAGTAATTCAGAGTGGATGATCTACGTTTAACATCTGCACGCATTAATTAATCAGCTCTCTAATTCCTTCTTTCCTCTGTTTCTCTGCGTCACTTTTCCTTTGTCTTTTAATTCACATTCTTCCTTTAACTAAATCTTTTTTATTTATTTTTCTACACATCTCCTTTCTTCCCCTTTTCCTAATCCTCATTCTCTTACTCATTCCCGTCGCGACAGCGTGACTGGATCCTTGGCTCCTTCAACGAGACGCATTTCCACGTGTTCCTCTCCCCAGAAGATGTAATTCCGCCGCAAAATTTCTCAACGCGTCTGTGGAAGCAGGTAACAGAGTCCCAGGTCTACAGAGGACGTCGCGCGTATCTAAACAACTTAGGAAACAGAAAGACGTACCAGCGCCGAAATTGCCAATGCATACTGATTAGCCGTGATGACGTCGGGGGCCAGTTAGAACCTCTCGTATGACGCTTATCAACTACGAGGCGAAAATTGGGCAAACTGCTACTCCGAACACAGGATGTGCGTGATAATCATGTTAACTATTTTACTAATTCGTTCACAGCTTCGAGTGAGGAGGTACAACGTTTATACGCGTGTGATCAAGACTTACTCACTTCACAGAACTGAGAATCTGACACCAAACATGAATTCCGGAGATTTGTACACACACGGACAGACGTCCCGAAGCGAAAAGACACCAAACGCATAGTCAGCCCGCGATTGGACAATAAAACTGTCGCCGGATTTAGATTCTGGACAACACCGTGTTCAGGTCGACGACGGTCAGCACTCGGCCTCATATCCAGAAGGTGTCGTGGACCCTTTCCCTCAGGACAAGGATTCCGCAGTGTTAAGCTAATCGTTCACTTCAGTCTCAGGGTACCTGTGGCTTCAAATCCACCCCTTTCATACGTTTAACTCTTTGAAGTCGAAGCTTTTCTAAATAACTTTCAAAAACCCATTTCTTACCTCTAAGAAAACACAAGGTTTCTTCATAACGACAATCAATTGCTTAACGTTTCAGACGAAATAATCGCTGTTTATTCTTAGAATCATAAGAAACCCACTCAGAAAAACTGACTTTTAAATCAAATTGTATATATATTTACCAATGGGCATCAGAGGGTTAATTACGTGGCGTTTAATCACAGTGATGGCGTTTGTTATACAAAATTATAATAAGCTTCATGACTTAAGCGTCCCGCTTTGTACAGGCAAGTAATTGCAATTTTCTACACAGTCTGAGGCACTAACTTGTATTTCCTTGCTGCGCGATCATCCTACACTTTGGCTTCATGCACACTAGGTTTACGGCCAATGCAAATGTATATTTGAATTCTATGGTTCTGTATATGTTGATTCTTTATTGCGATAGCCTGAAAATACTCGTGTAGCCAAGCAGATGTTGGACACAAATTTATGCCCAGTTTATGGAACCATCCTGCTTGGTATGATAAAATGTACAGGGTTACCTAAGCCTGTATGAGTATTTTTATCACAATTGAAGCTGAATTGT